CCCTTGGGATATCTTCAGACGGGTTGCTGGTATCAATATAAACAACCCCAGTTCGATGAATTGCGAAGGGTCTGAATGTGTCACACGAAAACTTTTCCTAATAATCATATACATATCCATTATTATATATATATATATATATATATATATATATATATATATATATATATATATATATATATATATATATATATATATATACATATATATATATATATACATATATATATATATATATATATATATATATATATATATATATATATATATATATATACATATATATATATATATACATATATATATATATACATACATATATATATATACATATATATACATAGAAATATATATATATATACATATATATATATATATATATATACATATATATATATATACATACATATATATATACATACATATATACATACATACATATATATATATACATATATATATATATATACATATATATATATATACATATATATATATATATATATATATATATATATATATATATATGTATATATGTATGTATAAAGAGATCATCCAATCACGCTACTGTGGTTTCAACCTTTCGTTATCCTCATGCGGCTTGGGCCAAAATATTCCCTCGGGCATTATTATTTATATATAAACGCACAACGTGAAGTGTAATAGAAGAAGGCGTGGGGGGGGGAGAAAAGCAAAAGCACTGAAATTGTATTGGACGTAGTTAAATAAACTGTATATACTTTCATCCTGGTTCGTACGCATAATGGTAAAATCACAAGTCATCATTCAAGCTAAAAAGACTTAGGAATTCTACAAAACAAGCCAGTCATGTGTGGGAATTAAAATAAAAAACTCAGAATAATCAGATTGTAAACTGGGAAATATTTAAAAAAAAATGCTAAAACTTACAGCAATCGTAGTGATGTCTGCAAACTGTGTCAGGATGAAAAGTTAACAACAATAACATTTCCAGATCAAAAAAAAATCTACTGAAAGTCAGAAATAATGACAAGTTGCATACAAACTAAAAAGTATTTTTTTGAGTTCGTACGAACCAGGATGAAAGTATGTATAGTTTATTTACAAAGCTTAGAAAATCACCGGGACACTTCGACGTTAGCAAGTTTGCCTCGTTTGATAAATTATGACTAAATAGTCAGTTCGATCCTCAACATAGAAAAATGAAATACTTTTGGCATTGCGCCATATCTGCGCTTATAAAATCACCATTCGGGGAGCTAGGTCGCATTCATTATTATTATTAAAATATACCTTTAAGTGCTGAAACTAGATGCGTCGTCAAGTGTTGTTGCTCCCATGTCACAAGAAGTTTCAGGTCTAAATAAACAACAGACTTCTTCAATGGGGCGACCCGACCGAATATGATCAGTATTCGGCCCGCACCTAGAACAAAAATTTGCCACTAGCTTTAGGACGTGAATTATATAAGTTGCCCCAGTAAACAACAACCAATCAAGACTTCACTTGGGCTATTCGATGTTATAAATTAAGTATGCATGGTTGTAGTGATCTTCCGACATGCGGCCAAGATAGGGTGTTTTTTGGGAAGAATAGAAGAAAACCTCCCCTTTTAACTTCTATAAAATAACTTATTTGTTTGGTCTTTTTCTTTTTCTTTTTATTCTTATTTTCTTTTCTTTTCTAAACTACACTTAATAAAATTTACAATAGATTGATTAAAATGACAGACTATTTACAACTTTAAAAGCTAAGAGAAAAATATTTAACAAAAATCGCTTAAAAACAAATTAATCAAACTATTTTTATGTTAAATACTAGTTAAAAAAAAAAAAAACACGTGAAAATTTTAGATAAAATAATTTACAAAAAAAAATTTCCTTACCGGAAGAAATTCGTTTAAAAACTAAGAGAAATAAAATAACTAATATTCCTCAAAATAAATGATCAAGATATTTACATTTCCTTACGTGCTAATATGCTTGAAAAATGATGAATCTATCTCCTCTCTTCCCGCAGCTATTGATAAATAGTAGCACAGAAATGGTCCTATACCCTTAGGTGGCAATTTGTCTTTGAGAAAGAAAATTCAAATCCAGCCTGGAGAACGTTGGGCTATCTGGCCCAGGAAATACCATTGCTATTGCGGCGGAAGTACATGTTGTGGCCCTTCGGTCCTAGGGGGTTACGTGTTAATCAAAACCGACTTTCTTATTGTCTTACATCTAACCCCGAAGTTCAACCTCTAGAAGTCGGAGATGAGATAGACTTCCCCCTAAAAATAATAATCTGCTAAACTATTATTTAACAAGATGATTATTGTTCTCTCAGAAGAATTCTGACTTGTATCCCTAAACCATCATTATCTCTCCCGACCGCAAGAAATAAAAAAATCATTCAATCTAAAATTATTTTCTGGCTTTAAATAACCGGCAGTGCTTTGAAAAGCCGTAGTAAACGAATTAATGAAACCCCCCAAAATTCAGGGAATACTACTTCATTCTTAGCAACAAAGAAGTTTTAAGGAAAATGGCAACATAAAGGATACTTCTAGTCAGAATCAGAAAGAGACAACTAAAATTTTTGTACAAATAATAAGTAAGGAGATCTTAGAGAATTTAGCACACACGGGGCATATAAAATGAAAGAACAAAGTTGAGCAGCGGGGACACCGGCCTGACAAGCTCGTGCGAATGGATGTCGGAATAGGGAGTGGATGGCTTAGCAAAGGGACAAAAGTTGCCAAGGCGTGTACAAGTCATAACAGACCGTGGTGAGTCATGATGGCCAACGTTCCGAAGAGGCACGGCACATAGAAGACAAAGTAAACCTAATGGATAGTCTAAAGGCTGGAACCTTTATTAAAATTGTCGACGCTCCAGACTTTTGCTTGTATTTTAAGCATTACAATTATAGTTTCCTTCAATGTCAAACATGGTATCAAGATAAATGTACACAGTTTCTGTAATTTCCTGGATATTTTTTTTTAATGATACAAGTGGCAATCAAGAAACTTTAACATAAAGTGGATACACGATTGTCTTTCACGTTCTTCAAAGTTGGTTATTCGCCACTTTGATAAAACAGGTTTTCAAAGTCACCAAATTAATGTAACGGGTCTCTAATCTCTCTTGATATGGATACAGGAGAAAATGTGTGGTCACAAAGTGGTGTATATGGAATTTGTGTTTAAAAGAGGCGTATATGAAAATTGTGATTAAAAGGAGTAATATAAAATAAATAGAACAACTCTTTTCGAACCAAAATGTATTTGGAAAACAATAAAAACTACTTTAAGTAGCGTTAAAGTCAAAACTGTACTAAAAAAAAAAAAAATTAATAAATTGAGTGATGAAGATTGTATAAAATCGCCAAATTCATATTAACGCGAAAATTAATAAAATAATAAAAGTTACATCGGACAGAAAACTGTGAAAGAAAATGACCGTCCACAGCTTGAAGGATTACAACACATAGAAGAAATTTCTTCGGATATAGGGTATTGTGATATTCTAAGCCTATCTGAGATGTGGCGCAAGGCCAAAATTATGGGGCACCCAGTGAAGAACAAACTCTACTCACTTGTAATTTATATTGCGCGACAAGCTTCCTAACCATTACACCATGTTGAAGTGTCCAAATATTTTTCTAAGCATAACTTAGATGAAGCACAGGGCCGAAAGGAATTGATCTATCGAGACAAACTTGATAACCATTACACCACGTCAAGATGTCCAAATGATTATCTAAGCGTAGCTTAGATGAAGCACAGGGCCGAAATTATGGAGCACTCAGAAACTCTCTAGTTAGTAGTAATTGATATTACGCGACAAGCTCGTTAGCCATTACACCACGTCGAAGTGCCCCGGATATATGGTATTTTTGTTATTCAAATATATATTTCCAGTGTTTCGGAATTATGCGGTTGGTGCTATTGACAGTGCTTAAGAATGAGAAATCGGTGAGCCGAGTTCGAATTCCAGTCTGGTTCGTTTCATTCACTTACGCGTAAATACTCTTGTGAAAGCTACCAATCCATCTACTCCCTCAATCGATGGGTTAAATAGTAGTACTGTTCTCGTGAAAAATCTTTATAAACTTTTTTAAAAATTGTTAATGCAAAATTTACTTGCAAAGAAGACAAAAGTATTTTTTATTAAAATCCAAAATATATTTCGGCTTTAAATAATCTAAAAAGGGTTGATAAAATATATATTCACTTGTAATATTTCGGATGTTGTTCTTCGTTTGCATAATAAAATATTATTTTGCTTTCGAAAAAAGATTTAAAAAAGGTGGGGGTGTGGAAATCCCCACGAGAATCGCGTCTGTTAAAACGAATTTATTAATGCAATAAATGACAATGTAACAGAAAAATTCCATTTTTTTTTTGTTAGCAGCTTCAATAAAAACAGTTCTAAAAGTTTTGTTTAATATTTAATAAAATATAAATTTTAACAAAACTGTATGCCAACCCGTTATAAATACTTGATGTTTTAGAAAAATATGTCTACCGATTTGAACTCACTTTTGTACAAATTTCAAAGGTTCTCGACAATTGATTTTCAGTTACCGTGCCACGGCACACTTGTTTGCCACGCGATCCTGTTACATGTGCCGCGAAATATTGTCACGGCGTAACAATTAATATCGTATTTATTGTCTGTGAAAATTATAGAATATAAAACAACTTTGATAAAAACTTATACCTACTTTTCTGACGAAAACAATGCCGTTCAGAACATTTTGGCCGCAACTGTATGTGGCAACTGTATTCGATGCAAGAACGAATGGTATATTTATATATTTGAAGGATGGACTCAAACGCGGAAAACAAGCTGGTGCAACACAAAGAACCAACTTTCCTTGTGGTAGATGTAGCTGCGTGGGGTAAGTATTCATACCTTTCCCCCAGTGCATTTGGGTGTAAGTGAACATAACGTACCCAAGGGGAATTGAAACTCGCCTCTCCGATTAACAATTCCGAGCCATTATCGATCACAACAGCCGCACATTTAAGCTTATAGCACCTGCTATTCCTAAGCTGTCGCCCCTCTATGTACTGACCGGCCTCGACGATGCTTAACTTCGATGATCGTACGGGAACCGGTTTTTCAACGTGATGCGGCCGTGAGCCAGGAAGCAAGAGATGCATATTATATGAATATAAGATAGATAACGGTTGAGCTTAAAGAGGTTAAGATTGTAGTGATTGGGAAAGCATTCTCTTGGGAGACTCTTCCACAAGCAACAGTTCCTGGAAAGAATCTGTCAAAGTGGAACTTCCTCCTCACCAATGGAATATGAAGGAAATGAATCAACTCAGTGTACTTTGAAGAAATCGCGAAAATACACCAGACACAAGTTTCACACCAAATAAGCTGCATAAATAGCTGAATAGTAACATAGAAATAAAGTAAGTTCATATTTGTGTGTGTATTTTTTTAATCTATGATTTTATTTCTTTTGAGATGTCAACGAACGCTGGTTACTATTTTTGTGATGTCAACGAATACTCGTTGTCACTTTTGTAAATCTCGTTGTAGTAGAGACTTTGTAATCGCAGATAGAACTATAGTACGCCGTTGAACAATACTGGTGTCAGACGCCTTCGAATATTACTCACACAAATAGTATTGGTCGATAATACTCGCTCGAATAGTAATCCGTATAGCGATCTGAATAGAGAAATAGTATAGTGAATAGAGTAGAGAAGAGCGATTCGTATAGCAATAGAGGATAGAGTAGAAATAGCTATCAATTAGACACACGCTACCTCCGATATATGCGTTTCCTCTATAGTCACGTGGTATACTTAATTCAATAATGGGATCGCCTGCGTTTGCTCACTTGCGATCTATGTTCAATCTCAAGTGTCGGCAGCGACACTTTATTCCTATATAACAATTTCAAAACATTTAAATCTATACCCTTTAATCCTTTTGCTACGTGCGCTATTTTCATTGCTCTTAGGTGTGCCGTTGCTTAAAATGTTGAGAATCACTGTTCTAGATTAAAGGCCAAAAGGCCCAGGAAAAACAAACTATATGAAATACTTTCATCACGGCTAGTTTATATCAACCAATTAATTGATGGTTAATGGAACAAATAAAAGAAAACACTTCTAAATTTCATTCGGACTATTTTCTTCGTTTATATATATATATGTATGTATATATATATATATATATATAAACAATGATTCTTTTATATATATATATATATATATATATATATATAATTCTGTCCCTGTGGCTTCCCTCTGCCTTTTCTATAAGTACTTTCATGGAAACTGCTCTGACGAGCTTTAAGCGCGTATTTGCATCTTAGTCTCACCCTTTTACTGTCGAAACGTCTAAATGTAGCCATTTCTTCTACTCCAACAGCTTCTTATCACGCATCTCCCGTCAGTGGAATTTCCTATCACTTGCTTTCCTGTTAGCTATAATCTTCAAATATTCAAATGTAATGTCACTCGACATCTTCTGATGCCTTGACCTTTGATCCCTGTCCTTCTCTTTATCCTTTTCCCAAACACTTCTCTTTGTACTTACTCTCACTCTCTGGGACAAATTGCTAAAAAAAAAATCTCTTGTCCGACAATTGCTTCTGTCTCAGTTTTTGAGATAAATGCTACCGAATGCGAAGGTCAGGGACAGAATGGGCAGTGACTGACCGGAGTGCGTCGGGGACGTGATACTCTGACAGTTACGGATTGTCTTTGTCTGAGATTTGGATATGAGTCCAAAATGGTGCTAATTCAACAGAGGACCGCAAGAACTTTGAGGCGTCTATACACATCCTGCGCCCAGGTTCGAGAGACCGACTAAGACCACACGCTGAGTGACACTAAACCAACCTGTGACATGCGTTCTCGCGATGTCATTCCTCTCGCTGCCTCTTAGAATTCAAGCTGCCACGTATGTCCCCGTCTTCAAATAAGCAAAATAGAACGCACCATCTTACTATCCCCGTCTTGTTCGATTGTAGTCCACCAAAGCAATGATCTCATAGATAGAAACGTTGTTTATGATTTTTTTTAGTTATCCGTTTGTCTTATGTTCAATATCTGGGTCAGACATATCCCCTGGTTATCGTATAGAGCTAAAGTGACACTATACATTAGATATTTCGAAGCCTTTTGACAAGGTGTGGCAAAAATGCTTGCTGCTCAAGCTATATGGCTATGGAATTACTGGATGAGACTTATAAAGTCCCTCCTAGCGGTAGCTGTTAATGGTCTGTCCTCCGGGACCCTAGCAATCAATGCAAGCGTGACCCAGGGCTTACTTTACGTATCAAACCTCGTTTTACTATACTTAAATGATCTCCCTAAGAGTATAATCAGATAATTTGTGAATATATATGCCGATGATAAGACGATATATGTGTGCACCTCCAAAACTCGTGATGACCAGAGACTGGAAACCAATCATTCCTCTGATCCAGCTCTGACATCTCAGTGGAGGGAAAATTGCTTGGTTACGTCCATGCCTCGAAAGCCAAACGAGTTACATTCCCTCGTCGCGGATCGGACCACAAACTACCACTAGTAACGATGAATGGGTGTCCCACTCGGAGAGGCTCTCTGCCTTGAGAGACTATTGAGTCTTAGACGTCAAGTGAAACACCGTCATACGATCCATCACTAAAGACGCAGGAAAGAGGGTCGGTTCTATATACCACTGAAGTAAGCACCTAACTCCTCATGCAATTCTCTAGCTTTACAAGAGCTAGAACTAGTCTAAAATGGAGTAGTGATGTCATGTTTGAGTATGAGCGACCCAGTTCTCACTTTCCAGTCTTGCTAGATTCGGAGAGCATCTCTGCGTCCTTGTGGGTGACAAATTATTTTCCAACCTTCAGTGCTTCACTCACAGACGGAGGTGGATAGCCAATCATTGATCTATAACTACTTTCATGGAAAGTGCTACGATGAACTGCATTCAATTATTCCGCCATTTTAACCTTCCCGTCTAGGACACGGCATTCCACTCACGTTATAGCAAACCACCCGTATTTACTCCGTATTTCATTGGTAAGAAGTTCCACTCAAACAACTTTCTTCCCGTAAACCACTGCTCTGTAGAACAGACTCAAAAGAAGACGCTTTCCTGGTCACTACAATCTTAAGTCTAGGGCTAACCGTTATCTTTCCCTCCTATCCGCATGAACCTCCTCTATTCGATTAGACCCCCGGGCAGTAGACAGGGTGAACATCACTACAAAAAATATTGAAAGTTAAACTTAGAAAAAAAATAAATGATACGAGTTATCTCTAGTCCAGGGTATGACGATAAACTACATCCGGCAGCCAGGCCTCTGATCGAGAGATTGGAGGTTTGGAAGAGCTTGGAACTACCTCTTAACTGCTGTTGTTCCTAGCTCCACCCTGATGCGGGGTGGTAACACCTGTTAGGGTCCCAGCTATAGGTAAATAGGGAACACACAAAAAAAAAAAAAACTCTATGAAATCAGAAAAATACATTTTTGGAGTAAAAATACCATCAATACATTTTTATATAAAAAAATTGCCAACAATACGTAAAACTACCTATTTATAATAAAATAAGCACCAATACATTTTATAGCAAAGTGACCAACAATACATTTTATCTATAGTTGAAGCAATAAATTGTGTTGACAATATTTAGATTTCGGCATTAAATAACCCATCGAGGTTAATATGCCGCTAAACAAAATCAACCAACAACTAGTTATTTCCCCTGACAGTGACAAACGAATGGGAGTATTTTTTTTCCCCTATATTGAATAAATGGTCGTTCACAGAATTTTAGCAAATACGCAAGACACTTGAAGTAGGCCCGTGGGTACAATAGCCAAAGCATTGTGACAAAAACAAATAAAGTGAAGTTAGCAGTTTGAATAAATCAATATACAATTTTCTAAATGCGATGCCCAGCAAATTTAAAGTTGTGATTAAAAAAAAAGAAAGAAAGCAAAAAGTTTAAAGTGAATCCCCAAAACGAACTGATTACAGCTCTTTTGAAATAAACTCAAACCGACATGCATTATTTTTTAACCATGTCCGTTCATCACTCTCCACGACTTCTATTTATCTTAATATATGTGAATTAGCATAACTTTTAAAAGAGTCCTGGTAATATTTTATAGGAAATGATTCCCAGTAGCCTTCTTCACAATTCTGAACTCAGAGTTCCCCTTTTCCCTGCCAAAGCTGGAAATGACTACTATTTAACCCATAGTTGAAGGGAGAACAGATACCTACATGCTTTTCTCAAGAATATTAGTGTGTACTAAATGTGAAGACCTCTGTCGGATTTTGAACTCTGATCGACGGTAGTAATTTTGTGCCGACAACTGTATTGCCAGCCGCACATCCGCTTTAATTCTTTATGATAATATAAATATTATTTTTCTAATCCCTTCTGTTATGGGACCTAACCCATAATAACATAATGGACTATCCCATACGTAATAAATACTGCGCCTCAAGAGGAAGCAGAGAGTGAAATCTGAAGTCTGGAGTGAAGTCCGTCAGGAGTCTGTCAGTCAGTCAGAGCGAGTGAGTCAGTCAGTCGAGTCAGACGCAGTCTGAAACAGAGTCGTGTTCAGACAATTACTACTAAACCTGATTGTTCGTACTAACACTTTCTACTTCTCTGTATGTATTCCTGTTTGTAATATATCTGTGTTATTCCATATCCGGGTTCGAGTTCTTCTTTATTGGTTCTACCTTGGACTATCACCGTAGTACAAGGAACCGGGCCATAACACCTTCAAAAACCTAAGTGATCATGATTCTCGACAACTTCTTTTTTTAGTATATGTGAATTTCGCGACTACTTGAGAAAAATAAAGTGGTTTTCAATTGTTTATCTTTACCAAGTGTTCCAAGAAACAGGACTAAAAACCAAAAATATGATCTGGAACTGGAATGAAAGCAGTGATATCATCTAACGTGAATCTATCATAATAACTGAGGAAGTGGATTAAATGTATGGCAAATTCTTCAGATACCTCGGTACATGGATTGCTTTTGACAAATGAAGCATAGGCGATAAGGAAACTGGAAGTTGACTAGGCTGCGCAAGAGGTAGTTTCGCTAAACATCACAAATTACTACAAAACAGTAACCCCCAAAGCTCG